AAGCCTAAAAAATCGTGGCAATTAAAGGGCGAAAACCTCATTGGAACATTTGGCGAGAGTCTCAACAGCAAATTGAAGATCTTCCTCTTTAAGACAGTTCGAGACACAGATTTTCAAACTGGGACGTGGCAATTCCCTCTCAACATGTAGATAAACCGGCATGATAATCGCGAGATTGTTCTCAATACACTTGTTGGAGATATTGTTCAATAAAATGCATTCGCCCTCGCGATCCAGTTGCCTCCTCAAGAACAGATGCTTAACAGGAGACTCTGGTTGGGCAGAAAGCTCAAAATGCTCCAGTTGGTAGAGACGAGATTGGAGATCGATGCAATTGCGCCTGAGCTTAGCAAAGAGATCATTCGATTCCTGCTCCATGATATCGATGGCGGTGATTGCAGCTGCTGTCAGAAGAGGTGGAAGTGAGGCAGAAAAGCAGTAGCCAAGTCCTGAGAGCCTCTGATGCTCGATTACGAAGGAGGAACCAACGCAGAAGCCTCCAATCGAAGCAACTGCCCACTCTAATGATCCTGAAACAAAAAAAAAATATTATTTTCAAATCGTCTGCTGGGACACTAAAAAGTCAAAATATTAAGTTGAATTATGCTAGTAAATGAGTGCTCTCACCAATGATTATATCAATTTCATGCCTAGGGACGCCAAAAAATTCTGTAACTCCTTTCCCAGTGTCGCCCAGGGTGCCAAACGATATGGATTCATCAATAAAAATTCTGAGCCTGTATTTCCTGCAGAGTGCCACAAGCTCTGGCAACGGACAGATCAGTCCAGTGTTCATATAAATTCCCTCAACGACGAGAAATCTGCGAATTTTCTCAGCCTTCTTTGGATTTTTTTCGTCAATCCGAACCTGCTCAATCAGGAGACGCTCTAGATCCCCAACATCATTATGTTTGAAATATTTAACAGTGGATCTGGACGCGTCAAATCCCTTCTGAATTGAAAAATTGACTTTCTCATCTGCGAAGATGATGTCTCGGCGTTTGCAGTACGCAGGTATTGCCGAGGCGACGGTGCTGAATCCATAGGAGTAGACAATGGCCTCCTCAGCTTCCATGAACTTGGCGAGACGTTCCTCAAGATCCAGGTGTACATCAACAGTGCCATAAAAGCCCCTGGGGCCACAGGATCCAATTCCATATTTTCTCGTCGTGGAGATGGCCTTTTCCTCGATCCTGGTGTCAGCCAACAGCCCCAAATAGTTGTGAGTAGCCAAATTGAGGCAATCTCTTCCATTGATCGTCAGTCTCTTCCCAATCTTCGAAGACACTAGTCTGGGACTGAGAAACGGATGATCAGGATCACCTGCAGGAACAAGACTCTCTGGGTGCCACTCCGATAACTTCTTCTGCACCTCCTCATCGCTCACTCCAACACGTTTTGTCCTCCGGGACTTGGAGAGCAGCCACGCAAGCCACAACCCAACAAATACTGCCGCAATCACTTCATACTGAAAGCTACCTCCAAAAATATTTATAGACTCCAACAATTTGTATTTCACTCCCATCGTGGCGGTCGTCTTAATCAATAACCTGTTCAACTGCAGTGAACACTTAACACCTATTTTTTGTACTTCTTTCTATTGATTTTTATTAATTACTGGAGGTAATTGGGAGACCAACCCCTGGAGAGGTTCACCGTTGCTGTCAATTCTTCGTTACAGAGTTTTTTCAATTTCGACACACCGGGTGTTCAATTCGCTGGCTTCAAGTGCTCCAAAGTGTTATCAATTGTTGTAACTGTTCTTGATGGATATTCTGTGAGCAACAATACGCAGGCGCTGACGTTACATGAACACAACCCTAAAAACAAGGTGAGTGCTAATGTTGCCAGAGTTTGGCAGACGCCCTGAATGACCACAGGTGTGATATTCCATCGTTATTTCCCAGTTTTCCATATCATTATAACCAAGGTGCACTAAAAAGTTCATCAAGCAAATAGAATAGTCATCCATACGCTCCACATCAAGGGAAATTAATATTCGTGGTGAGTAAATTCAGAAATATTGACATCAGCCAATGCTGGGGTGTCCTGACCAGACAGGGACATGTCGCCCATTGAATAATTCCATTTTTCCATTGTTCAGTGCTTCTTTCAGGTACTTTAATATTTTATATCACCGATAACTCGAGGTGAGAGCCACAATGGGGCGGTGTCTTCTTTGCAATTAATTTTATTTCTGTTATCAACGGATGCAATGATAAAAAAATACCTCCATCTGCCATTACAACACTGTGAATCATCACCACTCCCCCTCTCATACACCAGTCTGCAATATATCGAATATATTCAACATTTTTGCTGTCGTTAATATTAATCAGACGTGATAGTGAGTCTTCCGTTAAATAATTCGAGATATGAAAAATTTTCTGTCGAGCTGTCCTTTGAATCGAGATAAGATTTGCTGAAGAACGAGATTTTTTTCGTTGTCATTATTTTTTTAATGACGACATCATTAAAAGAAAGCTGATGACTCCCAGTGGATGACTCTCCTGTGGCTTCGTAACCGTAATGAGTATTCAATTATTGCGAGTAGGTCAGCCTTTTTCAGAATTATAGTCGTTCAGACTTGTATTCTGACACTCCGATAAATATAATATACAGTTAATTCGTGAATATTCATCCACCTTCATTATAATTTATAAAAAACTGATTTTTCGGCTCATCGGTATCTGCAGGGGATGCATTCCTCCGGAATAACGGTCCCAGGAGCCCCCACTCTTTAAATTCGTGGGATTAAATTATTATTTCAATTTAAATAATTTGGCAATGGGATTCCATCGGAATCAGTCAGTTCGGTTTTGTCATTGTCGCAAACAAGTACGAATCCTCATCCATTTAAAAATATTTTCCATAGTCCCAGCTTTTCTGGATTAATTACTCATCCCCACAATTTTTTAAAAAGATAATCGCATGATGCCGTACGCAGAATCCAATAACGACGGATTTAATGTGCAGTCAGACAGAGCGATTTACCGGCATTTACTGAAAATCTGGAAAAACCGTGAGTTTATCATTAAGAAAACCAGCATCCGTTGATTCAGAGTTGATTGGCATAAATTTACATCGCCACTCAGCTGATTGACCTCAAAAACATTAATATTTCATTTCTGCAACGGGATCCCGTGGTTTTAATTAAAGTACAAGAATTTTATGAGTCAATTGCCATTTCATTTTATCATCAATTTCGTCGATGATTCATCCAAAAGGAAAATAACTCATCAATAACAATTTCACCTATAATATAATATAAAACAAATTTTTAGAAAAAATCTGCTGTTATTCTCCGTAATTTCAGGGAAATAATTATTACCTCCTCATTACTGAATTAATCTCATTTTTAAATGAACCAAATCCGCGCTATCAAATCCACTTATCAATCCATATCAGGAGGGGATTGCAGTCAATTGCGCTGTGAATGACTTTCCGGGTGGATGCCCGGCTAGAAAATAGGTAATAGAAATTTCCAGGATCCGTAATTTCGGGTCTCGTCCGCATATTTGGGGCGGCAGCACTGAAAATCTAGCTCTGGTCGAAGCTCAATCAGTCCGTGCGGAGGACTTGAATCAAACCGACCGGATATGCTCCACCCCGTCTAGGAAATAAACTCAATAATCGCCAGGATATTTCCAAAGTGATGACTTCATCATCCGCGATACCTGTCAAATCGATACCAACGTACGATACGATAATTATCAGCGTGATATCGAAGGAGTGGCACCTGCTAAATCATCATCAAAGTTCATATCTATAGATCACCTAGTGCTTGAACCGCGAATGTGTATTCCACACCCACCATTCGATATTCAATCTTCATATTAATTTTAAAATATTCTCAAATTATATTGTAGTGGTCAAGAAACATTATTATAAATATTCACGTTAAATTGTAAATCTCAGAGCGATTGTAAACGGGTAGTCAGATTAAAATCACGTTCACACGTTCAAACAAATGGGACAAGTTGAATGTCAATAAAAGTATCAAGTGCTGCGATAGTAATTCCCTAGATCCCATTAAATGCCTCGACTCGGAAAGACGTCAGCGGTGGAATTAATCACAACAAACACTTAGTCGTTAATACGAAAATGTTTTCCTGTTGTGTCTGCAATAAAGCCTCGAAGAAAGCTGAGGGGATTTCCGGAGAACCTGAAGATGATGAAAAAGGTGAGGAGTTGGAGACTCCAGAGGGCGACGAGGGTAAGACAGCGACAATTTCGAATGCCGAGACGATTGAAAAATTGATGGACCCTGAGGATGCTGATAAGGATGAAATTGATAAAGTGGATGTGATCGAGTCGAGGTCATTGCCTTCGGAGGGGGGCATTTCGGAGCTACCGGAGGAATCGCCTGGGGGTAAAGATCCAGAAGAATGTAATATTCCTCTGGAGAAAGGACCTCCGAAGACAGTCTGCCTTTTTGAGGCGCCGGCGTACATTGAGAGGACAATTAAGGATGGCCCGGACGAGGATGGTGATGATTCCGTCTTCGAGAGCTCCGTCCATATCGACGACCTGGGGTCGAGGTCCAGGAAATCGACTGACGTTTTGTCAGAATGCAATGACGCCCCGGATAATCCTCCTGGAGATGAGGGGCGATCTGTCAGATCTGTCATCAGGTGGCTGTCCCAGGAGGAGGACGACGTCGACGAGGCTTGTGGTGGCATGCAGGAACCCCCGGCTACTCCTGTCGCCAAGGACGAACTTGCTTTAAGGAGACACAGATTTTTCTCTGACCTCATCGACGCTGCTAAACACTCCGCTGAACACAGAGTGAGATTCGATCCACTCGGCCCATTGATCCATCCTGGTTAGGAACCACCAATCATTCGGTGTTATCAAGCATGATATCTTCGCATTATTTCGCATCATTTCCAGCTGTTAATACGCACAAGATAATTTATTGATGGGTGCAGCATTTTTTTTTATTGCCGGTGTTGAAATGTTTCGTCCAGCGGAAAAAATTTTACTTGAGATATTTCACGCGATTGAGCAAATTAGATGGACGGGTAATTATTTATTTCGTTGGGAGAGCATCACGATCTCTGGATTATTACGCAGTGCTACGCCCACGTAGATTTCAATCTTCTCTTCCTGCCTGTTCTCAAAATCCACCAAAGCGCGATTTTTGCGGCTTTTCTATTTATGTTTCGGGGGCTCTACGTATTTCATGACATTCGAGTCTCATCTGTCTGAGGTAGTTCGCTGAGAGATTTTGAAAGACACTGAGCGTCGGATTTATACGTTTGTACGGATTCTCAATGAGAATTATATTATTTCCATTAGTTCGTTAATAATTATATAATTATTCCCAGTGGGAGAAGAATTTTTAATTCTTTTTAAGCGTTTGTAAACATTTTTTCATGACACCTGATATTCATGAATAATACGAACATCATTATTACTTAATTCTGATGATTGTTATTTTTAGATTAGACTTGCGTTGTGAATAGCCAAGTGAAATAATTTTCGATAATTTTGTGGTTCTCCAGGTTGTGATACAGAACGAGAGGATCATCTAGAGGAATTAGTGACTCGTCTGGAGAACGTGACAAATCGTTTGGAAGTTCTTCCATCGAAGCTCTTTATCCTAACTCAGGAAACGGGCGTTCAAACTCAGGGCTCATCTCCGAAGCGATCCGATCACTCGAGCCCAGATACCCTCTCCATCGAGAGCGTTGTGGAATTAGTTAGTCGTGATTCTGAAGACCCTAGCCTTCCATCTATCATGTCGATTGTGGATTATGAGGATCTCCTCAATGGACCAGTCGCCGAGTTCCTGCAACTAAGTCGGAAAATTGGGGGCGACGTTGAAGCCCTCAGTAAACTCGTGGAGAAAGCGTTCCAGTGAGTAATATTGCCCCACAATTTCATAAATTCATTCCAATTAAATTTTCCATCAAATCCCTGTGTATAATCGATTTAAAATCTTGAGTAATTCGAATAAATTTCGTTACTGGATAAAACAAGTGCGATATTTTTTCCAGGACTCAACTAGAATTTCTGCGAATGGCAACGACTCGTTGTGCCCCGGCGAATCAATCCGAACAAATGGCTCTGCTTTCTCCCACGTCCCTACAAATTCAAGCGATCCAGAAGTACCCTGAGAAAAATCGTGGCTCCCAATATTTCAATCATTTATCCGCAATAAATGCGAGCATCTCAGCACTGGGATGGGTGGCAGTGTCTCTCACTCCGGGTCCCTACGTCAAAGAAATGAACGACGCTGGTCAGTTCTACACCAATCGTGTCCTGCGGGACTGGAAGGAGACGGACAAGACCCACGTGGAGTGGTGTAAAGCGTGGGTGCAGATACTAACGGATCTCCAGAAGTACGTAAAACAGCATCACACAACGGGCCTTGTCTGGGCCAAGACTGGCTCAGCTCCGCCACCACCACCTCCTGGGGCAATGCCACCACCACCTCCCTGTATGCCAATCGGTGATGTCAGTGGATCATTGGGTAATGACGATAGGAGTGCGCTATTTGCACAGATCAATCAGGGTGAGAACATCACGAAGAGCCTCAAGAAAGTTACGTTGGACATGCAGACACACAAGAATTCATCGTTGAGGACCGGACCAGCGCCTTTCAAAGCACCTGTTGTCTCCAACTCCAGCAACTCAGCTACGAAAACTGTTCCACCAGCGAGTCAACCCATTGACAAACTTCCATCTTTCACGAGAGACGGAAAAAAATGGTTCATAGTGAGTCTAAACTTCAAATTATTTCAAATAAATCAATTCAAAATCGTTAAAATTAACATTAACAATGACTTTTCAATGCCTCCAGGAATATCAGAAGGGGAATAAAGATCTCTTTATTGATAACCCAGGGATGCAGAACGTCGTCTACATGTACCGATGCCAGGACAGCATCTTGACCGTCAAAGGGAAGATAAACTCAATTGTCATTGACTCATGCCACAAGTCCTCGATTGTATTTGACTCTGTTGTCTCCAGTATTGAATTTGTGAATTGTCAAAGCATACAAATGCAGGTATGTGATAGTGATTTTTATGACTTAATTGAATTTTTTTATTTAATTGAAACGAGTGGGATTTGAGTCATTTTTTGAGGTTTGGCATTAGAGTGTTTGTATCGATGACGAATTTCCTCCGGGGAACCACCGAAATCTCTTTGGACAGGTCGTCAGTACTTTGACTGGCAGTGGAACACACAATCGTAACTATTTTCGAAACACCCGAGTTCTTTATATATTCGGTCAATCCTCGGATCTTGAAGATGTTTTCTTTGACGTAATCTGAGAATTCTTGGGAGCTCTCCATCTTGGTTGGACTGTTTTGTTCGTTTATAATATTTATGTAAATCACGGTTTGTTCTGCAGATTCTGAGTGACTCTCGTTGACTCTCGATTCTCCTTTAGAATTTTTACAAATGTGAATCCGAGGATTTGGTCGATCCTCGTCCTTTCTCGCACCCTCGACCCTTGACTTTAGGACGGGAATCCCGGATTTGGATTTAGTTTTCAGTAGATTTTTCCCTCGAATGCAATCTAGGCTTGAACTCCTGTGCTGTTCATAAATTTTCTGTCCCCGATGGCCATCTGCGGATATTTGTGGGGTTTTTGGTCGTTTTGGGACTCTGTAAGTCCTCGGGGTCCTGGGCAATTTAATTCTACGTGGCGACAGGTCACTGCTACTTTTACTCTGATTATTTCTTACTTTGCGTTTGAGGCAGGTCAAATCGAGATCACTCGCTATAAATGGAATTCCACTGGATTTTGATCTCTCAATGTCCCTGGAAACAAGGGGGGACTTATTCAGCTGAAAATTATTCTCGAGAGGCCTCAGAGTAGTTTTCAAGCTGCCACTGGATTTCTCGGGACTCCCCAAGGGTATTCTCCCTCGAAAGTCATCTGATAATACGTTGATGGTGAAATTAATGCCCGTAAAAGAGCTCTTCAGTATCAACGGTTCAGGAAATTTCAAATGCTTGTCCCCAAATAAATCACTACTCCACGAGTTTTCAACTTCTCTCAGTGCATCGAACTTTATCTTCTCCAATTTCATGAACACCGAACTTTCACTCTCAATTATCGAATCGCTGATTGCATTTACGTCTGGCGAAGCGCTTGAACAAATAATTAGGTCACTCAATACTCCACCAGATGAATTGACTTCACTATGAGAGTCATCACCAGATGGTCCACGGCTTATTTGATCCTGATAAATATTAGAAAGCATAGAATCATTTCTCCTGTCAGTGTCGGCATTTCCCTTTGGATTTGATATTATTTCATAAAATTGTCGGCTCTCCCCAGATGTGGCGCATAAATCACTCGACGACTCTTCAAGGTGGGGAAGTCCCTGACGAATTGTCTTAGAACTCCCAGAATCATCTACTCCCACTTCATTTTTATTAATAGACTGCGATTTTAGCTTCTGATCCACGCGTTCATCGCAATCCGTGGATTGTTCATTACAACTATTTCCAGATTGTTCCTCGATTATATTATCCAGGATCGGTGCAACGAAACGATTTTTCGAAGGCAGAAGGGAATCCCCGGAGGTATCCACCAGGACTTCATTATCAAAATCTGTTATTCCAGTGACTTGCTCTTCACATTGAACTTCTTCAGGAATTTGTCTTTTCTCTGAATTTGTAATTTTCTTTGAAACGGAAGCGAGAGCATCTGGTTCCAATTTAAAGTCCTCACGAATTTCAACTGGAGGCGCATCACCTTCTCCGCTGCTCTGCAAGTCACTGAGTTCCTGGAGGAAATCATCGAGTAAATTTACCTCTTGAGCTGTTTCCTTTCTCGTCATATTATTGTCTACTCCATTTCTGTATGTTTTTAATACTGTGCGAAGACCTTCCAATCGGTGGCGAACTTTACCGAGACTGACTCCCGTCGATTTAAATAACTTCGTAATATCTGAGGAGCTGTTTTGAAGTGTCAGGGGAATCTGAACTTCCCCGTGGCTAATTGTCCCTTGACACTGAATTCCCATTGATTTTCGTGATCGTAAACTGCGGCACTCCATTTCGCCATGTTTTTTCGATTGGCTAGACCAATCAATTCTAGAACCCTTCTTGCACGACTTTCGTGTCGAATTAATTTTCTGGAAGATCCGATTTCTATCGTAAACTCCACAGAGAGCTTCATCGAGAGAATGTGATTTATTGGGCCCAAAATTTGGTTTCTTGACGATGCATTCAGGGATTAATTCCCCGAGCCAATTTTTGTCAGTTGGGCCTAACAATTCCATCGAACTATTTCCTCGATATTCTCCCTTCCCGATCGAACAGTTTATATCGGAATTGGCAGGAAGAGGCCACAACCCGTATTGCATTCTGTAAGCTAAAACATTCACTCTCGTCTCGAGGCTCTGGATTTTGAAATTTATCCCGTCCACGATTTTATCCTTCACGATGTCCTCAAGTATCTCCGTTACTCTCGTCCAGAAGGCGTAGATAATCACTAATAGGCAGAGTATCAGAGTCATCAGCTAGAATATTGATCAAATGTTTAGTTCGACTGAATTGTTATTGTGATTGGAGTCTCACCCGCCAGAGAATTCCGTCAGTAACGGTAACGTAATCAATAACATCGGTGACGATTTCAGACCAGAGGTAATTTAGAATTGTGGAGGGACAAGATTTCCAGTCGATTTCGCAGATCGTACGAACGGGCTCGACATTTCCACCTAAATTAGAAGTCTATAATTCTCCGTGAATTGGACATTCCTTCGTCATAATTACCGAATTGCCAATGAATTTTCCGGTCCCACAGAGCCATTCCCCTGAATATTTCAACCAAATGTATTTATTGGGAATTTCCAGAGATTTTGGAGGTTTTTGTTCATCATGCGCGGTATCTACTGAAACAATTAAAATGACAATCGAATCTGTCACCGTCATTACTCATTCGCAATGAGCTCCCGATTTTTCAGAGATTAATTCATTAACATTTTATTTTATTTTATTTGCACAGGTTCTTGGGGAAGTACCGACAATTTCAATAGACAAGACTGATGGCTGCCAGATGTACCTCAGCCCTGAGTCGCTAAACGTTGAGCTAATTACGAGTAAATCGAGTGAAATGAATGTTATGGTGCCGACGGGAAATGAGGATTACGTATGTATTCGTTTCTTTATTATTGTAATCCCTTCATTGCGGGTATTAATTGGTGAATTTGATATTTTCAGACGGAGTATCCAGTGCCAGAGCAATTCAAGACCACCGTAAACCGCAAGGGACTCAGCACAATACCAGTCAGCTCTCTCGGCTAAAGCCGAAGTTATTCAATAAGTTTTTCAAGTTCCCAAATGAATTACGCGATAAAAAATGGAAATATTTCCATAATCACCCTGTGAAATTCATCATTAACGATTTCCATTATTTATGCTTTCACTTGTCTCGTTTGAATCGATAGATAAAGTTTCGTGGTATACAGTATTTATCAATCCATCAATTAATTTTTAATCTGGAGGAGAGATCAGCGAGAAATTCCGGAGAAAACATCACTGAGTTGGACAAAAGTTTGTTGTTCCTATTGACTCCATTTTTATACATTTACACCATTTATAACCGCAGAACTTTTCTCCAGCTCACATTCGGCTAATCCTAGAATATGATTATGATAAATATTGGCTAGAATTTTGGATTACCCAGGAATGCAGTCATGTTAATTATAACGATAAATTAACAATTCCCAATCCTCTACCCAAAAAAAATAACCCGAAGCTGCATTTTATTAACTGTTAATCCGTTGGGGACTGTGCGGAAATTTTGCCGATGGTTTTTACAAGGAAAAGTCTTTGTCATTTGGAGAATTATTTCTAGTGATGTATCTATCTATTTAACTGGACCTTTTAATAAAGACGATGTAATATGCAAACAATTTATATTTATTGCTTCCTTTCATTTAAAAAATTTGACGTCCTGCAGCGTTCGCGGGACAACTGTCCAGTGGCGCATGCGCACGGGAGTGGTTCCTTCGTTCTAGAACGAGAAGAATCTCGTTTTTTAAAATAATTGTTTAATTGATAACGACAGAGCTTTGAAAATTGCTGGACTTTATTAAAAATATAGAATCTAAACAACTGTCGAGCGATTTATCGGGGATTTCCGGTTTTTATTTTATTTATACGAAATGTCGATCATCAGACCACTAACCTGCAACGACTTATTCAAATTTAACAATGTGTAAGTACTCTTTGAATTAATTTATAAATAAATACCACACATCATCCTAAATTTGTTTAACCGATGAAATTACTCTTTCCACTGCGAAAACAATTTTTCATTCTTTTTTTCTCTTATAATTCCAGAAATTTGGATCCTCTGACTGAAACTGTATCCTTTTCCCGGAAATTGAGATGTCGTTCTGGAAATAATTTGTTTCTCTTGATTTTTCTTAACTGTATTTCAAACAGTATGGACTTCCTTTTTACATGCTGTACCTGGCCCACTGGCCTGAATATGTACAAGTGGCTGAATCTCCCAGTGGAGAAATCATGGGTTACAGTGAGTTGAGAGAAATATATCCCCCTCGTATCTACAGATCGAATACTTCCAATTAAATTGATTAATTGCAGTTATGGGGAAAGCAGAAGGTCGAGGGAATTCTTGGCATGGGCATGTGACAGCACTGACTGTCTCTCCAGATTATCGGCGGCTGGGTCTCGCCGCGAAACTTATGAAATACCTAGAGGAAGTCTCGGAGAAGTGAGTAATGTAACCAATTAATATCCTGCCGCAATGGCTCCAATTTTGAAAAAAATTTCAAGTCCCTCCTCGAAAGGTACCCCTCGGTTTTTTTTTTTTTTTTATTTTTTGAGGCTTCTGAACAGATTTTACAACTGGAAAAAACGCAAAAAAAATTTCAGAAAGCAGGCATACTTCGTGGACCTCTTCGTTCGCGTCAGTAACAAAGTGGCAATTCAAATGTACCAACAACTGGGCTATATTGTTTATCGAACAGTTCTCGAATACTACAGTGGAGATCCAGACGAAGACGCATACGGTGAGAAAATCTCAATAAAAAAACACGAAATGTATTAAAATAGCGGTTCCACCGTGTTCTGTTTTCAGACATGCGGAAAGCCCTTTCCAGAGATATTTTCAAGCAATCAGTCATCCCTCTGATCCACCCAGTGCGCCCTGAGGACGTTGAATGACACACGGAGAATGAGTAGATATCCTGCGATCATTTTCACTAGCGCGAACACATCAAATATTCAATACATAATCAGGAGGTGAATATCGAATTCGCTCGCATCGGTTACACCTGGAAAATTGTCATTTCGATAGTCATCCGGAGACTGAACCCCTTATTTATTTTTTTACGCGCTTGGATGTCTTCTCACTCCTGAGTCCTGACGATAATTACAAGAATAATTGAGGGCATTTAATTTTATTGAGCAGCGAAAAAATTAATGATAGAATAAATAAATAAACAGTCAAAAAATAACTAGTTCTCAATGTAATACTCATTATTCGGTGAAAAAACCCGGTGCGAGGAATTATGGCCTTTGATACGCCTGATATGGCATGTCATAATGACCGAGAGCCTCGTGGTGACTCCTCTCGTGCCAGCCCTCTGCCACGGGGCTGTGGTAGAGACCATAATTTACTCCGTTAGTCGCTATTTTCTTGAGGCCCTGAATGCTCGACAGCATGAGCGCCAATTTCGCGAGGATCAGGGCTTTTCCTCCGAGGACAGCGAGAAACTGAAAGCCCATGGGTATCAGCACTGATCCCATGATCAGGAGACCCATCATCATCATCGGCATCAGGTGCTGGTGGCGTCTTCTGTGGTGACGTCTACGTCCTGACGAGAACCAAAAGACCTTTCAGTATTTTCGAGGTCAATTAATAATGAATAATAATTACCCTCGACCAAGTCATCCTTGGAGTTGGCGTTCATTGCCTCCTCCGTTGCATTCCTGGATTTTGTCAAGGCACCTATGTTGATTCTCAGGACGTGAGTTCTGAATATTCTCCCGAATCTCGCGAATACGATGTCTTTCCACGCTTTAGCAGTCTCTCGGCCTCGATTTTCCCCACTTGTGTGGGATAATTATACAT